TTATAAGCAAACTCCATCAGGTCTAGACGATCATGCCAGGAATCACCAAATTGCAGTACTGAAGATCTCCACATATCCTCTAATGTCTGAATGGTCCTCTCTGATTGCCCATCAGTTTGAGGATGATAAGCTGTGCTATAAAGCAATTGTGTACCCAGGGCTTCCTGAAAGGCCACCCAGAATTTAGAAGTAAACCTTGGGTCTCTGTCAGAGATAATATTTACTGGAACTCCATGATACTTGACAATCTTCGAGATAAACAACTTAGCCAATTTATTCAGAGGGTATTTCTCCCTCACTGGAATGAAATGCGCCGATTTGGTGAGTCGATCCACAATCACCCAAATACCATCAAACCCATTTCGTGTACGAGGAAGTTTATACACGAAATCCATGGTTATATTTTCCCATTTCCACTGGGGAACGGGAAGTGGCTGCATTCGCCCAAAAGGCTTCTTTCTTTCTGCTTTCACTTGTTGGCAAATAATACACCTGCTCACATATTCTGCAATTTCTCTTTTCATACCCGGCCAATAATAAAATGGTCGAATGGTATGATACATTTTTGTTCCTCCCGGGTGCATCGCATAAGCTGAACAATGAGCTTCATCCAGAATTTCCTTCTTCAATTCCTCATTATTCGGAACATACATTCTGTTTTCCTGCATGAGCATACCATCTGATTCCCGGATTCTGAGGTCTTTCTTTTTCCCTTCACTTCTTAACTGAACCAACTCCTGAATTTCCTCATCCACCATCTGAGCTGTAAGAATACGATCAACCAAAACTGGCCTGACTTGAAAACTAGCAAGAAATGCTCCATTTTGGTTTTCAAATTCCAACCTTACCCCCGCTGTCCTCAATTCAGCAAGAAGAGGGACACGACTAGCATACAAGGCATTAAGCCTACCTTGAGGTTTCCTACTCAGTGCATCCGCTACCACATTAGCACGACCTGGATGATACTCAATAGTACAATCATAATCACTTAGCAATTCCATCCACCTTCGCTGACGAAGATTAAGATCATGCTGAGTAAACAAATACTGAAGACTCTTGTGATCAGTGAAGATCTTACACTTCTCACCATACAAATAATGCCTCCAAATCTTTAAAGCAAAAACAATTGCTGCCAATTCAAGGTTGTGAGTAGGATAGTTTCTTTCATGATTTTTCAACTGCCTAGAAGCATAGGCAATCACCTTATTATGCTGCATCAAAACACATCCCAAACCATTTAATGAAGCATCACTATAGATCTCAAAATTACCGCTATCATCAGGAAGTACCAACACCGGTGCATGGGTGAGGCAATACTTCAATTGTTGAAAACTCCGCTCACATTTCTCATCCCACTCAAATTTAACATCCTTCCTGGTCAACTTTGTCAACGGTAAAGCAATCATAGAGAAATCCTGAACGAACCGTCGATAATAACCTGCTAAACCCAGAAAACTGCGTACCTCAGTGACGGTTCGAGGTTGCTCCCAATTCTCCACCGCTGCTATCTTTTGAGGATCAACTTGAATTCCTTGAGCCGATACCACATGCCCCAAAAATGCCACTTCAGACAACCAAAACTGACATTTACTGAACTTTGCATACAACTGATGCTCCCTTAATTTCCTTAACACCAAGTTAAGATGTCGGATATGATCTGATTGGGATTTAGAGTATACCAGAATATCATCAATAAAAACAATAACAAATTTATCAAGATATTTCTGGAATACCTCATTCATCAGTCTCATAAAAGTTGCAGGTGCATTAGTCAACCCAAACGGCATAACCGAAAATTCATAATGTCCATACCGAGTTCGGAAAGCCGTCTTAGGTACATCATCTTCCTTAATCTTCAATTGATAATACCCAGATCTCAAATCAATCTTAGAAAATACACACGCACCTTTCAACTGATCAAATAAATCATCAATGCGAGGCAATGGATAACGGTTTTTAATCGTCACCCGGTTTAGTTGCCTATAGTCAATACACAATCTCAGGGTTCCATCTTTCTTCCTCACAAATAATACTGGAGCTCCCCACGGTGATGAACTAGGTTGAATGAAACCTTTATCAAGTAATTCTTGCAACTGAATTTTCAATTCTCTCAACTCAGCATGAGCCATTCTATAAGGAGTCAGAGATATAGGATCTGTACCTGGAAGCAAATCAATAGAGAATTCCACCTCTCTGTCTGGCGGCAACCCCGGCAAATCATCAGGGAATACATCCGGATAATGTCTGACCACACCAACTTCTTCTATACTAGTGGGGGCAACCTCATTTAACACCACATGCGCCAAATATCCCTGACAACCCTTCGATAACAATTTCCTCGCCTTTATGGCAGAAATAACTCCATGTCTCACCCCACTTCTCTCGCCCACAAAAGTAACCTCGGGTAATCCAGGACGATAAAAAGTAACTGATTTACCATAACAATCAATATGGGCACGATTATGGTGTAACCAATCAGCCCCTAAGATCACATCAAAATCCACAATATCTAATGGAATAAGTGAAGGAATTATTTTGTAAAACATGTTCATTTGAGCAACATCATATAGCATGCAATTAACAATTAAAGGCGGAATCATGCTTGTATGCACTCAAAAACAAAACATTACCATGAAATTCAAAGCCTAGTAGATTGGTGAACCAATAATCAACTCAAAACAAAGTGAGTTGAAATTAATACCTTTGTAGATTCCTCTTTGCATAAGCAAAGGCTAATCACCCAAAGAGATAGGGCCTTCATTCCTTGCTTCTTAGATCCATGGATTTGGATGGAAGAATAGGTTCTCCAAGTTCCCAAAATTGAGAACCTCTAAGTCTCTTCACCAAGGTTAGATTGTAGAAGAAAAATGAGTGACCTTGGAGTAGTAGGATTGCTAGATGTACCCTCCAAGGTGTTGGCCTTTTTAGAGAGAAAATGGAGAGACAATTCTCACCAATTTTCCCCAAAAATAAACCCTTTTATCACTTAATGAATATTTAGTTATAAAGTCATTTATATAGTCACTTCTTTAAGTGACCTAAATAACCAAAACCCTAATTCATCACACTATGGCCGGCCATTTAGGGGATTTTGGGCTTTTGGGCTTTAATGAATCTTCATTCATTAAATTGTCATACAACTTAAGTTAATGGGCTTGACGTTCGAAGCCCATTGGGCCTTAAGGTCCAAAACTATCCCGAAGTCTTTAACGAACTTATTCGTTTGATTAATTAACATATTAATTAATCCTTGCCATAAATAAATGATTAAACCATTTAATCATTCTTACTCATTTCCGTTTAATCTTCAATCTCCACCTTTTATGGTGTGCGATCCATTAGGTTCCTTTTAACGAGGTAGTGGGGCGATTAAAACCATTTTACATCGATTGTGAATTGAAACTATTTTTCAATTCTCCCTTTAGTGATTACACACGTTTAGGGCTTCCACAAACCATGAGTGACACCTAGCAGCATATCATGGTTACCCAAGCTAATCAGAAGAGGATAGAGAACCTATTCAGTTTGGGATTACAAATGCAATACGGTCCTTCTCTAATCTAATACTCTTGACCACATTGTTTGGTATGATAGTTTATTTATTCATGTCTACTATCCAATGTGATTCGTGTGCTTATATGATTTTCTTGAATGTGATTTGGAACGCATTCCCTAATCTCATTCATACTCTGGCCAGAGATTCCAAATCATATCATAGAGTATTCTCCCTCAACTGTTTGAAGGTTAGAGATCCCTTGTTGCGCATTCACTTGTCTCCATAGCTAAGTGGCTTAATCCCAACGATGCCGTGGACACCCCGAGGGGGTGACTTTGACATAATCAAAGATCAAGGACTTAACCACAAGACAACTGTGATGCCTCAGGTCAAAGGACTACTTTGCATTATCCCAACCATGAGTTCTCATGTGACATGGAATATAAGAACTCTTCGTTGATCACGTTCAGTGAACTCATTCTCTATTGAGCACCTACGTACTTGTCTTGATGTCACACACACCAATGACTCGAGACTAATCACTCTCACTGAGAGAAGACATAGTACGTACTGATCTTAACGGACTGTCAACGCCCAATTGACAATCCTATGATCAGGAACGTTTAGGATGTGTCTACGAAAGAATGGTCTCATGAATCTAACTTCATTAGATTACATTCTCCCAATCACATATTCCTTGGACTTTATCGTTTAAGCATATAACATTTATATGAGACGGCTCAAACAATAATGTATGCCTTTTATATGTAAAACTAGATTAGTTTAACATGTGAAATGTCCGTAAAGTATCATCACATGATTGGCTTTAGGGCACATTTCCAACAATAAGATCAGCGGACATAATCACGCCCTCAACCATCACTGGACACCCAAGATACACACTATCTACATAACATTTATCTCCTCTAGGCATGGCAAACTCTAAATCAAATCCTAGAGGTGAAGGGTGAGGTTGGGTCATTTGAGCAAACGTATGAGAAATCACAGAGTGCGTAGCACCACAATCAATCAAAACCTTAGCAAAATGACCAAGAACATTTAACGTACCCATGATCAAGTCTGGATGGTTCTGAGCCTCCTGCAGAGAAATATGATTAACTCGTCCCTGAGCTTGCTGACGTCCACCTCGGCCTCTACTGCCCTGATTACCTCGTCCCTGAGGATTACGCCCCTGGCCTGACTGACTAGACTGCCTGGATGATCCTGCACCACCAGTAGCAACTTCTCCCTGACGGGGTTGGCCTCCCTGATGCCACTGCGATCCACCAACTGGCATAGAGGAATAAGATGAATAACCTCCAAAATCCTGAGAATACCCAGCCTGAGAGTGAGGCTCCTGGGAATACTGATAAGGTCCGGGAGCATACGGAGCAGCATCCCCCTGATAGTGGTAGGCACCACCACGGCTAGGCTGGCCATAACCGCCTGATCCAAAACTCTGCTGAACTGGTGCTGGAGGTGGCATAGTGGTCTGTTGTGGTCTCTACTGACCCTGGGGGCATTGAGAAGCCCGATGTCCCATCTGCCCACACGTAAAGCAGGCACCAGTACCTCTCCTACACTCACCATGGTGACGGAAGTTACAACGGCAGCACCATGGAGCGCCAGATCCACCAGCATCCCTCTTACCCTGAAATCTGGGCCCACTAGAAAATCTTCCACCACCTCTCCTCGGGCCAGTAAAACTATATCCCCCACTAGAAGAACTCGAACTCGCTCCACTTTTCTTAAAATTCTGTGTCTGTCGAGGTCCCGGAATAGAAATACCCTTACCTTTGTCATTCTTCTTCTGACCCTCATTCTTGTCCTCATCATCCTCACTGTCAGGAAGATTATCAGAGTCCTCCATCCTAACCAAAATCTCGAAATACTCATGATAATCAGCGCAGGGGAGTACATTGGCAAAGGTACGCCACTTCTTCTTAGATCCCAACTTGAAACGTCGAAGCATCTCTCCCTGATTACCAGCTGTATCAGTGTCATAACGAGACAAATCAGTAAACTTTCTATAATATTCATGTGCCGACATATTTCTCTGTTTCAACCTGGTGAATTCCTGCTTCTTACGATCAATATACTCAGGAGGAACGAATCTCTTCATAAAATTCTCTTTGAACACTTTCCAGTCGGCTGCCGTTTCGGGTGACATGTACCTAGCCTGATTCATCCACCATGCTGCTGGTTCACGACCCAAAAACCAAGTGGTGGTCTCCACCCATCTATTAGCAGGGAGATTCCCCTGACTCTGCATCACCTGGAAAGTCTTCTCAATATGATCTAGCCATTTCTCTGCCCCCTCATGACTTTCATTACCCATAAACCGATCTAACTTCAAGTTATACATGGTCTCCAGAGGTGCCCTCGGAGGAGGGGGAGGACGAATCACATTCTGCAAAGCCTGAGCCATCGCTTCCCCTAACTGAGTAATATCCGGGAAATTAGGTTCAGAAGTACGGCGGGACTCCCTACGCTCCCTACGAGGCGGCATGATTCTGACAAAAAACATCAAAAGATCGTTAAGACATTAACAAATTTACAGGACTGCAACCTAAGCTCTGATACCAAACTGACACACCCCGATCCGGAGGATCCAGGTGTGCTGGCCGTCACGTGGGCGTGACGTAGCCATAAGCACGACACGGAAGCGGAAAAGCAACATAAATCAGCAGAATTTCAAACCAAAATCAAACATAACCACCTACGAACATAACCATACGAGTTGACAAGTAAACACATAAATTCAGAGCATAGGTTAACTGTAGTCAAGTAGGACTAAAATAAGAATACATCACCCTCAGGTGAGTCCTACATGTCCAAGGTCTGTCAGAAAGCCGGAAAAAGGACCTTGTGAGCCAACCACCGCTAAACTAGAACCTGGAGGGGCGCAAAACAAAATGAGTGGGTCAGTAAAACAAATTAGTTTTCCAAACAGTTCATTAAAACAATTATATCCCCTCGCCGTAAAAACCTGTATACTTTCCCAGAAATATATATATAACCATATAAAATCTCAAAACTTAAATCCCAAATCTTTAACATTTTCAAGAAAACATGCCATGCCATAAATCAAAATATAAATCAGGTGAAATGAGGAATCAATCGGAGACCCTGCAGTTGGTCCTATACGATTAATTCAATAGCTCAAAATCCCACTAAGCCGGAGTCACCACAGTGACCTGTACGGCCCTACTCTGCACATCACTCGGAACTACGTAAGGTAGTCTATACGATGAAAGGTGTAAAAATACGCTCTAGTGCTTCTCTCTCATCATATCATCAGCGCGCATAACTAAGATCACCCACTAGTCGGAATCATGCCTAGTGATCTATACGACTAGCATGTCGGAAACCTCACATGGTCTGTACGACATCCACCTACATGGATCCAAGGCGAGCGTGCGGTGTGGTGAATAATATAAGCACTAACACCTAGGGTGCAGGTTATGAGCTCAAAACATCTCAACAACAACAATTCAATGAATAAATGAACTCACCTGACTTACCTGTGCCTCCACAGCACCATGCAACATGTATGCATCATATATCAATCATATATCTCATGTGAAATTCATATTTATCAAATAATTCTATGCATGGCATTTTTAAAACATAAATTCGTATAAATTCAATTTTCTGGGAAAAATTAATAGTATAAAGGTAATACGAAAACAAAACTGCCCACTCACTGGTAAGTCGACGGGTCGTAACCCCCGTGGCGTCCCTGGATGCGGTCGTCCTCGGGATACGTCTCACCTATATGCGAAATAACTATAAAAACGTTAATTTTAAACACATCACCAATATTTCGAAATAACTTCTCATACGATGCTCAATTTGGGTATATGAATATACCACATCGACCTACTCGACGTCACGAGCGTCGAGAAATTTTTAGAAACTGATTTGGACTCCCCACGCGCCCTCACGCGCCGGCTAGGGCTCGGCCCTACGCGCAGGTCACGCGCAGCCACGCGCGGCACGTGTCATCGTCTTCCCCAGGGTTCGCCGGACTGGTTTTTCCGGCGACCCAATTCCGGCCAGTTTTCAAACTTCTTGTTCTCCTTCGTTTTTCACCCAATTTCTTCGTATTTTATACCAAATTGAAGCCCTAAGAGTGCACTATCGCGTTGGACTAGTCTTAGGGTCTAAAAATCAAGAAATCTCACCGAGCAAAATCCAAGAATTCAGCCAACTTTGAAACCCACGATCCCGACGTCCAAATCCTTCAAACGAACATCCCCGAGCTTCCTTAGGACCTTACTAAGCTTGCTATAAGCTTGAATTCCCCTGAAACACAACATTTTACGTTCGCATGAACAGTACCCAAAAATGGAGGTTTCGGATTCCACGCGAAATCGAAGGTTTCACTTCCTAAAACTAGCACCAATGAACTCAGGACGTCAAAAGGATGAAGATACATACCTTATTTGCCTCGATCCGTCGAGTTTTGAAGGATTTTGGGTGTGTGCCGTACAATGGGTGTGTGTGCGTGAGTTCGTGAGGGAGAGGGAGAGACAGGGAAGGCACGGGGGAAGGAGAGGGAAGGAAAGGTCTTGTGTGGTCCAGATTAACCCACACCCTCCATTTCATCCTAGCCATACATAACAAAAGAAATCAAACCTTCAATATTTCCAACTCACTAATATTTCTTCTAGCTAAATTAATATTTGGACCAAAATAACGCCACAACATACGCACCTTAATAACGCCAAGGGCACTTCCGTCATTTCACATTCCCGTCAACAGTACCTCCGGGACGGGCTGTGACAATATATAACTAATAACATAATTTTGTTCTCATAGTACACATGTGAATTTCGATATATGATGTGCGTGTTATACTAACCACAACCACAGAATTAGCAATTATATTGTCAGTTGTATATAACTAATAAACATAATTTTGCTCTCATAGTAAACATGGGGAATTTCGATATATGATGTTCGTGTTACACTAACCACAACTGCGGAATTAGCAATTACATTGTGAGTTGTATATAACTAATAAACATAATTTTGTTCTCATAGTAAACATGGGGAATTTCGATATATGATGTTCGTGTTACACTAACCACAACTGCAGAATTAGCAATTACATTGTGAGTTGTATATAACTAATAAACATAATTTTGTTCTCATAGTAAACATGTGAATTTCGCTACATGACATGCATGTTAGATCCACCACAACTGCAAACTTAGTGGTTACATTTTGAGTTATATACAATTGATAAACATAATTTTGTTTTCACAGTAAACATGTAAATTCCGTTACATGGCTGATGTGAAAATTATCCAACACTCAAATAAAAACCCTGTGATTGTAGTATAAAGTAGGGATCGTTTTAGGCCGGGGATTAGAAGGGATGCTAATCTACTCAATTTAAACTTTAAAACACTAAACTAGACTCAAAAACAGAAAACTAGACTTTTATGACTCAAAACTAACCAAACTGACTCAAAACAGCAAAACTAAGTTAAAAGGACTCAAAACAAACTATAGGGAGTGATTTAGACGAATTTAAGACTATGAAGACTCAAAACACTAAATTGGATAGATTTAAACACTTTTTTAACTAATCTAACACACTTAATAAAAGGGGGGATTGATTTGAATGAAATTAATTAAATTGAACAGATTGCAAAACTAAATCAAACTAGGTACGAAATTAGGTGAATTGAATGGTGAAAAGCTAGCTAGAGGATTCTTCTCCACACATCAAACATATGCAACATAAATTGATTTCCAGTATTGTTTCTTTAAACCATGAACGACAATGCCCCAAATTAATCATGAAAAGCACAAATTAACTTTCAGATTTTCCTAAGTTCATTGAATTGGATGGAATATGCATCGGCAACCAAATTATTCTTCTCAAGTTCCCTATATGACCAACATGATAGAGATACAATCAAAGATCATTAAGTTCTATGAAAATCATTGATAGGAGCATATTTATGCGCCTTAGGTAGCTAGTTCTTATGCATTTATGTTGTGTTTTCTTAGTTAAATTAGTCTTTTAAGCTATTTTCATGTGTTTTCAGGTTTTAGAGACAAAGTGAGCAAAAGGAAGCAATTTGGAGCATTTTGGAGCAAAATTGGGCTAGAATGGAGTTCATGCATATGTAGCACAAGGGATGGACGAATTTGAAGGATTGATGAATCTAGGAATGTGTTTTGAAGTTGAAGAATTGAAGATACAAAGTTTCCTAGTTGAAGTAGGAAAGGGCTTAAATGAAGGATTCCTAAATAAAGAAGGATTCCTAATCAATGTAGGAGTCCTAATTGAAGATGGATTCCTAGACACATGAAGTTTCCTACTCAAGCAAGGTTTCCTATGTGAAGAAGAAGAGTTAAAGTCAAAGAATCAGCTCAAGAGAAGGAATCTTATCCAAAACCTCATCCATAACCTTATCTTAGCTTATCTTATCCAAACAAACCTTATCCTATCCTATCTTATCCTAATCCTAAACTATCCACATTTCAGCCACTTAGGAGGGTTTCTAACTAGATTAGGACACATTAAAATTGGTTTTTAGAAGCCCTTATCCACTCCTACAAAGGTGCCACACCTTATCCCTTGTTTTTCTAGAAATCAGCCACAAAACAACCTTTCTAGAAGGCCTTATCCCTTGTCCTACAAAAGTGACGCCCCAAACCTTTCTAGAACTTCTAGAAACCTGATTATTCCTTTCCCCCTTGGTTTCTAAAAGCCTTAGCCTTTTCCTTCAAGGATTGTGTGTTATTATCCTATACAAATTGGGCCTTTCAATCCTTTTCCTTTGCTACATAGGGGCTGCGAATTTCAGCCTATAAATGCCATCCTTTGCTGCACCATTTAGTCACCATCCTCTACCATATTTTTACTACACCATTCACCCAAACATACCTTGTGTGCCGTGAGTTTGCAAGGAGAAGAAGGAAGACAACTTGGAGCCGTGCATGCCATTCAAGGAGCTTGGATTGTGGAGCGTTTCTAGGTGTTTTCTATCTTTGTTTTAATGTTTAAATTTATTTATCTTTGTTTATTTGCGAGTATGAGGAACTAAACCCCCCTTGGCTAGGGGGGGATTTGAAACCATGATTATGCTTGCTATATGATTTGATTACTTTTAATTGCATTTCATAAGTTGTGATTTCAATTTGCTTATCTATGTGAATTAAAACTTATTCTTGTATGTTGATTGAGGGTCGACACTTAGTTTGCATGCATGAATTTGATGCTAGGATATAAGGGAATTTCACCTAATCGTTATGAACTTATATTCACAAGTAGTAAAGGTTGTTGATCACAATCGTGTTAAGTAAATTCTTGGCATAAGTTTCATGCAATCATAGTAACAAGTGTTTCGTCAATGCTTATGGTTTTCATAGAACTTAATGATTCTTGCTTGTATCTCTATTATGCAATCATGTAGGGGACTTGTGGGGAATGCTTTGGGTTGTCGTATGCAATCATCCAATTCAATAACATTAGGAAAATCTGAA